TGCCGAGGGGTGTCGGAGGGGCGGGAGGGGTCTCGGGGGGCTGTCCTGGCCACTCGGGGTGGTGACACCGCCTCAGTGTGCTCTGGAATGACGAAGGGAGCGGACAGCCGCTTTTCTTCCCTGCTGCTTCATTGCCGGGTTGGCCGGGGGGTGTCTGAGCCCGCATGCGCCCGGTGGTGGGATCCCGGCTGGCCGGGGGCTGCGAGGTCTCCGGAATGGTTTGTTTGTAAAACTTCCCCTTTCCACCGCCTGTGTACCTGGGCTGTAGATTTAAAGCGAGCTCCGGTTTGACCAGGGCAGCTACCTTGCCTTGCTGGACACGGCATCTTTGTCGCTGTGGGAATAGCATTTTATCTTCGTACGTGTATATTTTAATCTTTTGCATGCATAAGTTTTAAAGGACATTCCTTTCTGCCTTGAAGTACTTCAGCTCTACATCTTGTGTGAGCAACTCTCTGAGAGCCTTCCAGAAAAAACTGATGATAGGACGGGCTTTCTATTGCTATTTTATTTTTGTATTACTGTGTGTTTTAATCATATCTCACTGCAACCATGAGACTTTTTTCTGCGTACTGATGGCCTCATAATATTGTTCCAAACTAAAATAAAAGAGCAAACCAAATCTGTGCTGCGTGAAGAAAACTTTACTAAAACTAAAACCTAAGTGAAATGTTCCTTTCTACCTTCCATCTATTCTAAAACAAAGTTGCAGACTTTTACCAGGAAACTTTTATCTCATTTGCAGTATTTGAATATCACTACAGTTTAGATGCATGAAGCAAGTACAGCTGCACGTCTAAACTCTACTTTCAAACCCCTCTGCAAAGAGTGGCTTTGTAAAGTGTGGGGTGCAAGGGAATATTTTTTTCTTTTAAAAAACTGCTTCCTTCTTTTACCTGATGTTACCTGAACATTGGTTTTGTTTCTGGGAAGATGGCAAGCCTATGCTGCGCCAGGGGGACACGGGAGACTGGATTGGCACGTTTCTGGGTCATAAAGGTGCTGTTTGGGGTGCCACCCTGAACACAGATGCCACTAAAGCAGCCACAGCAGCAGCAGATTTCACAGCGTAAGTGATGAACTGGCTTCATGGTCTGTATTTCGATTTAATTCTGTAGCTCTTCTGTGATAACATACCTGTACTGAATTACTGATACATTTGTTTCTCTTTAGTAACTGTTAGCTTATTTTTGGCTAGCCAAATTAAAACCTAGACTTTTACCTTATTGAAAGCAGCTACAAATAATTCTGTCATGATGAACAGCTATGATTGCTTCCTGATGTGCTTAATTATCATACTGGTTTTCAATTCTGTCATGATGAACAGCTATGATTGCTTCTTGATGTGCTTAATTATCATACTGGTTTACTTTTACTTAACTTTTCTGTGCAGCTCTAATCTCTGGCACTGTAGTTGTAGCAGAGTTGAGAGAGGGATTTTTATTTTTCATCTCACAGTTAGCCTCTTTTTATTACAATAAACTTCTAGTGAATTAGTTCTTTGATGTTTTTTGTTCATTTTTTGTGCTGTGTGCAGCATTAGTGAATATTTTGCAAGTTGAATCTTGTTAGTAGAGGGCAGATTCTATTAATGAAGTTGCAGAGAAGAGCCACCTTCATCTTCAAACTAAAATGTTAATTAGTTTGGATGATCATGATAAAGGAAAGTGGTGGGATAGTCCAAGGAAAGCTCTAGTAAAAATATATAAAATATTCTTATTGACTAACTGGTTTACAACTTAGAATATAGCACTTAGGATAAATTGTTGTGGTGGTATCAGGGACGATTGCTTACAAATTCATCTGACTGTCCAGGTTGATTTGTCCTGGTGCTTCTAAAATCTGAATATTTCCTCTTGCTGTTTAGCAAAGTGTGGGATGCTGTGTCAGGCGATGAACTAATCACACTGGCTCACAAACACATTGTCAAAAGTGTGGATTTTACACAGGTATGAGAAACCTTTATACCTTATTCACCAGGGAAATAAGCTCTTGAGTATGTTTTGCTGTTAGTTACTTCTTCGCTTTTTTACTGTATATCTTAACAGGTAAATAATCTAAAATTATTTACTCGCTGTTTGTTTATAAGATTGTAGGGTTAATGTATAACAAGTGTGTTAGAGGCTGTTTGAGGGAGAAGCTGTGATTTTTAACTCACAAGAGACAAGAGCTGTATTGTGATTCGAAGTAGAGTTGACTCTCTATAACTTCTGTTTCAGGATAGCAATTATCTGTTAACAGGTGGACAAGATAAGCTCTTGCGTATCTATGACTTGAGCAAGCCAGAAGCAGGTGAGTCTGCTTTTAAAACTGATTCTTGGGAGCTTTCTTGAGTTAAATAAAAGTTCTGGAATTAAGGGGCTACTTTCTGTTCTGAATCACAAAGAACAGTGTTGAGGATTGTTTTACAAATGTAATGTCTGTAACCTTTGGTGTGTAAGGGTCCCAGAATTGCTTGGGCTGGAGAGGCCCTTAAAGATCACCCCGTTCTAAACCCTGTCCTATGGGCTGCTGGAGCAGGTTGATTAAAGCCCCATCCAGCCTGGTCTTGAACACTTCCAGGAATGAGACATCAAGCAAAGCATGTTTCAGTTCAGTGCAGACATACTAGAAATTGATCTAATTAATTAAAATTTAGTCATCTGAAAGAAAAAAAGACTCCACTTACGTAAGCATGTTTAAAGTCATGTTGATAGTGAGCTGCTGATGGTTGATAGGAAGCCAGAGAACCTTGATGTTCACCTAGTGAAGTTTTTGAAAACTAGGTAATCAGATATCCATTTTGCATTTATCCTGTTCCTGGAATAAGAACTGCAAATAAAGTCCTAAGTGATTGAAGTAGTTCTACAGTCTCTAATAGATGGAAATCCATGTAGCTTAAGGAAGGCCCCAAACTGTTGCATGCCATTATTTCATTTTATTAGGTGTGTTAAAATATTTGGTTTTATTTTAAGAACCGGATGTTGTCAGTGGACATACTTCTGGCATTAAAAAAGCCTTATGGAGCAGTGATGACAAACAGATTCTTTCAGCTGATGATAAAACTGTCCGGTAAGAAAAAGTAACTTTCAGTTTTCTTTACTCTCATGCTTTATATGAGGATATAGTTATGTTATTTTGGTAAAGGATATGAGTAACACAAGTTACCTGATCCTAGATTTTTGTAGCTGCATGCCTGATACAGCTCTGTTCTGCTGTCAGAGATCATTTTGCTGATAGTTCTAATTTCCCCATAAACATGTGCTGCTCATAAATGTGTTCTCCCTCATAAGAAGAGGTGGTCTTTGAGAACTGCATGGAATAAATTTATGCCTTTTGTAATCCTGAAGAGGATGAATTTATAGATGAGGTCTTTTGCATGCACACTGTCCTGAGCTGTTGCTGCTTTGTCTTCAGTTTCCTCGTGTTCAGGATAGGTGGGAGGCAAGTCCTGCTTGTTTTTCTCCAAATTGCAAGAATAGAAATGCAGCTAATGAATAAGGATTTCTATTTGTTATAGCAGCACAATTTAATTTTTGTTTAGACACCTCTTACACTGCCAGATAGAAAACTATATTTTATTTAATGAATAGTGAACCTCTGTAAATTTGGATTAGTACCTCTTTGTCTTTGGAGGTAAAAAGACAAAATGGAATCTTCAAGTCTTGCTTCAAGATCTGTTGCTTAGGAGATTTAAACTAAGATTTTTAATCTCCAAGAGAGAGTTACTCTCTCAATTACTGAGTTTAGTTACTCTGAATCACTGAGTAACTAAATGGTGTGTATATACCATTAAATGTTGTAGCATTAAGCTGCAAAGGCTAGAAGTATTTTAAAAAAAGGAATGTGTCTTAAGCTTGGCCTAGGTGAGAATGCAGATAAAGCCACTGAAGATGTGAAGTACCTGTGGAACCAAACCATGTTCCTTGATGGGTGCCTTTTTTGATCCAGGTCTTGTCATAGATTTGAGGTGAAAATTGTTTGATTTGCAGAAGGCTGAGAGTCTTTTTTTCCCTTTTTGTTTCCTTTCAAGCCTCTGGGACCGGAGTACCATGACTGAGGTGAAGTCACTAAATGTGGCAATGTCAGTGAGCAGCATGGAGTATGTTCCAGAAGGACAGATACTGGTGATAACCTATGGGAAGACTATTGCTTTTCATAGTGCAGAAACGTGAGTCCACAACTCCAGTTTTCATAGGTGGAGTAATGGGCTTCTTGTGGGTAAAAACTGGCTGTATGAGGCCGGAATCAGCAAGTTGTCAAAACTGGCATCTCTATGCTGCTTCAAGAAAGGAAGTTACATGCTTAAACATAGTCCAGAAAGTAGTTCTGTATGTGTGAGCTTTTGTTTTACTTATTCTAAACTCATTTCTAACTTGACAAGCATGATTTGCAAGTAGCAAAACTTGTTTCAGAAATTCTGTGAGGTTGTAGTCTATTTCTGGTAAAAGCAGTTGAGATTAGTAGAATCACAGTTTCTTTGCTCTCAAGATTTCTTTTCTTTTTAATATGAACTTTATTAACCAACTTTTCTCCCTCAGTCTAGAGCAGATTAAATCATTTGAAGCACCTGCTACAATCAATTCTGCATCACTTCACCCAGCGAAAGAATGTTTGGTTGCAGGTGGTGAAGATTTTAAACTCTATAAATATGACTATAATACAGGAGAAGAATTAGGTATGTTTGTCTCCTATAATCATAAAGAAGTTCTGAAATAGGTATTAATAATGAAAAATGACCAGTAAATAAACTATTATATTCAAATAAGGTCTTAGCATAGCATGCTGTGCAAGAGGATGATGAAAATGTATATAATCAGTTAAACCTTTTTTGCTACCTCAGTATACCTAGTATTATTCTAGAATTAATTAAAATATCCATTCAACAACTCTGCACCTATTAAAAAAATTTCTTACTTTGTATTGCTATAATAGCTTTATGTTAAATTGTTATACTACTCATTAGATATGTCAGTTACAAGATTTTCTGAAAAATATGATGTGTTGGCCAAATTTATTTCAAAAAGAGCATAATTTTTTACTTATCCAGTTCTCATTTAAAGTTTTTTGTGGAAGGAGTATTTGAAGGAACAGAGCATGTGTGCTCTGTGCTGCTGCCTTGCTTTGCAGTTCTGTCTAGAATAACTGAACACTTTTTTCCTTGCAGTTAATGAAACATTAATATCTTGCCTATTGCTGACACACCCATTCATGGAAACTGTTTTATATCAGAAACTGATCAATTTGTACTTAAATTTCAGCTGTTGGCTGAAATTTGAAATTGATGGTCTTGATATATTCCCTTCAGAATCTTACAAAGGGCACTTTGGTCCCATTCACTGCGTGAGATTTAGCCCCGATGGAGAGTTATATGCAAGTGGCTCTGAGGATGGCACACTAAGGCTGTGGCAGACAACAGTAGGGAAAACCTATGGCCTTTGGAAGTGTGTAGTTCCTGGTAAGTGTGTGCTTGGTCCTGGTGAAACCTGGCAACTCCATGTGCACTTTAATAATATTAAATGTAATATTTAATACTTTAATATTATTGCCATTAGTGGCAAACACTAATATCTGTCATTAGTAATATTTAATTAGTGGTGAAAACTGAGTTTCATACAGTAACTCCTGTCCTCTGGGGGCTTCTGATCTCCTCATATCTGTTAGATTGAAGGATGTTCATTTGTAGCTGTCATGTAAGCAATTAAGAGCATACCAGTAAGCTTTTTGAATATAGACATTTTGAGGATATTTAAGCCAAGAGCCTGATTTATTTTTATGTTAAAGAGTGAGAAATATGTGATACCACTTCTATAATTCTGAAAGAGAGACTCTAGAAAGAATTGTAGATGATGGTAGTTTTATTTTATATTGTACTCTGGTTCTTTCAGCTTGGGGAGAGGGAGGCAATAACTACATGTGGATATTCATTGCTTGCTCAAGCGTTTCTCCTCAACACAGATTACATGGAAATTAGGTTTTTTTTCTTTTTTAATTAAGGTGGGTGGGTGGAACTGAAGGTATTGACTGTTTGTTTTTCTACTCTTCCTCTACAGAAGAAGAGAATGCAGAAGCAGCAAAAGCAAGGACTACCCTTCCAGGAACTGCAGAGGAGGAAATAGGTAATGAACTGAACTGTCAGCTTCAACTGCCTCAGTGTTAAAAGATAGTCAAGATGATAGCATTCCTTAGTATGGGAGAAGTACTTTCCCTCAAGTGCTTTCTGGTATTTTTCACTCTTTTCAAAAGATCTTTGAATGCATTTGCCTGACATTGATTATGTGGTAAGTGCCAGACTGGTGACTGGAGCTGTGCAGGCAGAACAGATGGGGTAGAACAGCTGGATCACATTGAATGGGAAAACAAACGGAACTGGTCTCTTTAAGCAATCCTTGCAACATTTCTTTGGTTTATGTATCTAAAGTAAAGTAACACCCTTTTTATTTAGTTGCAGAAGAGATTGCCTCTGAAAACTCAGATACAGTGTACAGCTCAACTCCTGAAGTGAAAGCCTGATTACTGCAGCTGTTACGTGACACATGGACATGCGAGACTAAATCAAGTGAGCAGTGACAGACAGCAGCCTTCCAGAGTGCGCTCCCTCCGTGGGGCAAAGATGGGCAGTAATTGATGAGAATGCGGTGGAACTGGCTAGGTGTTGTCTGTAAGAGAACTGAGCATCCAAATAAAAACCCAAAAGACAAGTAGCAGAGTTCTGCTGGCTTTTTGGCATAACTGCCTACTGTCTTTTCAAAGAAGTGTGCAAGCCAAGATCCAGTCTCTCCAATCTCAATTAGACTCATTGTAGTGTGTTTTCATTATTACGAAGAAGAGATACAATGGCTTTTACCTTTTTTTTTTTTTCTCTTGAAAGTTGGAAAAATTGGCTCTAGTTGAAAAGAGGGGATTATGTACTTAAAAGTATTTGGTTCGGGTTTTGTTTCATTGTATGCTGCTTCTGAATGTTTAACTGTTTTCAGTTGTCTAAATAAAATGCCTCTCCAAACTCGTACATTACTTTTGAGCGTTGGGTTCATGGAATGGAAAAAGCAACCACATTAATCACGTAATCCTTGGCATTTTGGGTTTGTACTAAACAGAGAGAAAGCAAAAGAATGTTTTAGTGTTGGTACAGAGGGTGGCAAGTTCTTTGATCTGTAAGCTTTGTATCTTTTTTTATTCTTTGAAGTTTGAATGTTAACATGAGTCTCTAAAAGGAAAAACAGTGAAAATTCCTAAATTAAACGTGCTGCCTGAAGTATTTGGTTGTACATGAAAATATCAGAGGCTGGCTGCAAATCTGTGTAAAGCTTGGGTTTAGTCTTCCAGACTGGATAAAAAAGTTACTCTTTCAAGGTTACAAATCATATTTTCTTCATTAAAGAAAATAAATGCCATTCTTCTACTTGTCATTTCCTTTAATGTTATGCTGAAAGCTTTACATAATGCATTCTGTGTGGTAAGAAGAAAGTATATTTTTTATATGTTATTATATATTTATTCACACACCTTTTGATTTTTTCATATTCATACTTGTCCTTAGTGTCCTGTTTTTGCAGACTCTACCTATTTGCAGTTACCTAGTTGAATTTCATTCTAAAAACAAGCAACTCTGATTTACAGCTAAATGGTTCAGTCTTGATAATTCCACTAAGGCTTATGAGGGCTCCCTATGTAGTACTTGAGCATGAAACTTATATTTTACAAATGGGATGTGTTTAAAATGAGGAACTTGGAACACCTTGCCCCACAGTGAAACTTCTTGTGTGCTGTAGGTTTTATTCCATATTTGCAGTAGGCTCTGTAGCATTTCATAGAGAGGTCTGGAATAGATTCTCAGAACTTTTAGCTGGGGAAAAAACCCTTTACCATTAAGTTCAGCTGTTAACCTAGCTGTTCCCAAGTTCACTAGAAAACCATGTCCTTCATTCTGCATTTACAGCTTGCTCTGGGATGCATAAAACTGAAACAACTAATAGTCATAAAAACCTAATATTTAGTAACTATTAAAATACTGAAAGAAATGAAAAACACCCCACAAAACTGAAGTACTGTTATGAACAAGTGTTTGAAAAATCACCAGTAAGAGTTTCAGCAAAACCCAGATTTAATATTAAGTGGCAGGACAACAAAGTTGATTGGCAAGATTCACTCTACTACTTACAGGACAGTTAAAGCACGCCAAGGAAAACCAAACCACAACAAAACCGAACAAAATCCAGGCAATCAAAACAAATGAACTGGGAGCTGCCTAGAGGGATGTGTGTGTGTATAGTGAGAGCAAGAATAAAAAGGAAAAATGCCTAAAAGCTTAACAGCATTCAACCTTAACTGTAATGTTAACTTCTACTTTAAACCTAACAGTTTTGCAGAAGAACAACATTTAATTTGCACCCAACTTAAACTTTAACAATTTAACAGAGGAAGAACACTTAACAGCTTTGAACCTGATCTAGGATTTAACCTTATTTACAAGCCTAATTTAGACATCTCAGGTAACAGTGTTTCATCCCAAACACAGGGTCAGCACTTCTGTTGGAAAGTGTGGGAACCAGATGTGTTATGCCATTCAGGCAAGAAAAATAATTTCCAAGGCTGGTCATAAAGAAAACAAGAGCTCACTAGACAGCAGCAGTTCCTGGGAGCAGACAGTGTTTCTGGTGAGCTCAAGAGGAGCCGAGCCCAGTGCTGTTTGTCAAGGCCAAGGCATCACAAGTATTTTTTAGATGAGAGTGTGGCCTGGAAAAGTGGGAGGAGGAGGAGGATACACCACCACAAGCACTTGGAAGCTTGTAATTTTTGGACTGCTTTGACAAGTCTTAAAGTACACAGCACAAATGTTATATACTTCTAGAGTGATTGCTGTCTTTCAAACCATTGCTTCTCAAAGCATACATGCAGTTTTGGTATGAAAAAAGAAGTGTCCTCAGGTTTCAGAGCTATGACCCTTTCCTGCTTTACCCTATGCCTTTGTGAGTTTGGGGTTTCTTTAAGTTGGAAACTGTTTCATCTAAACATCAATATTAACAATGTACAACATATTTTTCATGAGACTTTGTGTTTTTTTCCCAAATTTGGAAAAAATGTAAAGGCCATGAAATTTTCAGTGGTGTAGTTACCAGAATTTCATTCTGCAGGTACCACTAGAAGTTTTACAGGTTGGCAGCTTTATTGACCCCATGTGTGGCACTAGTTCCTCCTTGAGGAGTCAACACGGAGACACCGAACAGTGCCTTGACTCATCATCACGGGAACAGCAGGTTCAGAGCTGTGCATCGCCAAAGGGATGGAATATCTGTGTTCCTCAGAGGAAACTGGTGAGGCTGGAATATCTGTGTTCCTCAGAGGAAACTGGTGAGGCTGGAATATCTGTGTTCCTCCTGAGGAAACTGGTGAGGCTGGAATATCTGTGTTCCTCCAGAGAAACAGGTGAAGCCGCACCTTGAGTTCTGTGTCCAGTTTTGGCCCCTCAGTTTAGGATGGATGTGGAGACGCTTGAGCGCATCCAGAGGAGGCAACGAGGCTGGTGAGGGGCTGGGAACACAAACCCTGTGAGGAATGGCTGAGGGAGCTGGGGTTGTTTAGCCTGGAGAAAAGGAGACTCAGAGGTGGCCTTATCACGCTCCACAGCTCCCTGAAAGGAGGCTGCAGTCAGGTGGGGTTGGTCCCTTTCACCAGGCAGCAATTGACAGAATGAGAGGACACAGTCTCAAGCTGTGCCACAGGAAATTTAGGTTGGACGTTAGGAAAAAGTTCTTCACAGAAAGAGTAATAAAATACTGGAATGGTCTGCCCGGGGAGGTGGTGGAGTCACCATCCCTGGATGTGTATAAAAAAAGACTGGATGTGGCACTCGTGGCGTGGTCTAGTTGTGGTGTTAGGGCATGGCTTGGACTCGATGATCCTGAAGGTCTCTTCCAACCCAGCCGTTCTGTGACTCTGTGAAGGGA